TGATCCATTTCCACCAAAAATTTCGTTGACTTGTTTCGAATTCGATAAAATTTTTTGCAGATTAAATCCTGCCTCAGCATGAATGTTTATTACGTCTTGCACAACAGCGATAGCTTCTTCCTCTGATTGAAAGCAGTCTACATAATCATCGACATAGTGGTGTTTTGTAATGGCTTGAACTGCTCTTTGCTTCGAGTCAGCATACCTTTTGGCGTTGTAGTTTTTCACGAACTGAGCAATTGTTGGCGAACATGTTGCTCCGAAAACCATACGCTGCATGACAAAATAAGAAATGGCTTGATCCTCGTTCGACCGCTACAAAAAACGCTGACAATCCTGATCAACCTCTCTAGTTTCTATTTGCAAGAACATTTCCGCAATATCTCCCGTGACCGCAATCGGAGCTTTGCGGAATTTGAATAGCACATCAATAAGAGGTTGATTTATACCTGGTCCAGGTAGAAGAGCATCATTCAGTGACATCCCTTGTCCCAATCCCTGTTTATTCTGATTAACTACAGAGAAATGAGGCAAATAAAATGTTAAATTTGAACGCGTAGCTTCTTCTGATGCGTTTAACTGTCTTGCCTACTTTTTTATCTATTAATTCCCTTATTTTTGCATCATATTGTTTCGCGTACACGGGATTTCTAATCTTCTTCTTTTCAATCAACTCCAATCGCTTAATTGCTTGTGTATAATTATCTGGAAACTTAACTGTCTCCTCTTTCCATAGCAGTCCACATTCATAGCGACCATCTTTTTGATTGTATGTTTAATATTTTCAGTGCTCTGTCATCTGCTTTTGACTTCAATGGCCTCGCATTAGCTTTGACACCGCATATCTCTATTTCAAAATATTGGCGCATAATATCGTTCATTTCACTATCGTCGTTGTGTTTAATACGATGAGCGTGTAGTACACTTCTCTTCGTCGTGGAGCATTCTCCAGTAGGGCCAAAAATTACCCAGCCCAAACGCGTTTTAACAATTGCGGCCCGTTTATGGCCGACATTCGAGGAACTTCAATTGGCACTGTTAAAAATGCATGCGTAAAGCTAACTATGATTTTGGGCTGGACGTCAGAATAACTATCCAAAGGTACGTCTTCAAAACTTGGATTGACTCCCAGAACTTCGTTCTTATAAAATGACTGCTTTGGCAGAATCAAATTTTTGTTCAAATATACTTTCGATATCTTAAATTGTTTTGCATGTGACGCGGTGCTGCTAATACCTAGCTCAACCACTTCGGTAGGTTATTTTACGGAATGACCATTAAGCCAAGATAGCTCCAGGAGCTCTTTCGTTCCACTTAGGCCAAGGTCTTTTGCAATACTCCAATCCAGCATGGTGACGTCAGCACCATCATCTATGAATGCGTACACAACAACCTCTTTCTCGCGATTCATGAATTTAACGGGCATGATTTGAAATAAAACCTCATTTGCATTTCTACCAACGTGGCAACTAACCTTTTCATGGGGCACCTCCCCTCTTACTTGATCACTGGTCGATGACTCACTGGAATCAGTATGAATCGAGTGTGATAAACGATTGTGGTATTTTTTACAATTATTGATTCCACAGCACTTCATTGAAAAACATTTATTTACGGTATCATTGGATTTAAGGCAGGCAAAACACATTTTCATTTCCTTTACATGCTCCCATCTGCGCTCAACTGGTAGCTTACTGAACTTATCACACGAAGCAAGCGATTGACAATCGCCTTCGCAAATAATACATTTACGGCGCGCAAGACTAAACATCGAGTATTTGTCCTTGTTCACTCCAGGCACGTTACCACGCGCACGGGAATTTATAGAAACTTGTGGGGGCGGTAGGCTATCCGTCACCATATTTGCAAGTCTACGCAAGCATGTCAACCACTTCCCAAAATCCACTATGCTAGGTGCACGACCCAATTCCATACATTTTTCAGCCCACTGCATACGACGTGTCATCGGCAACTTCGATACAAGCTCACTTACCAAAGTCGAGTTTACCAGATGATGTTGTGCGCCCACTGATTACAAGAATAATGCCATATTATTTACCTTATTAGCAAACGCGATTAACCTATCTAATTTTCCTTCGGGAATAGGCTGCAAGGATTGTACCTTTTTGAGCTGGCTCTTTATTAGCTGTTCTGGACGACCATATGTTTCCGCTAACATTGTTAATATAGCATTGATATTTTTCGTTCTGGATAAAAGAGGTTCTACCATTTCCCTGGCAGGCCCATACAGTGCTTTACGTATTCTCATAATACTATGTAATTCAGTGTATTGAAATTCGATGGTTGTCGTCTGGAAGTCTTCTATAAAAGCTTGCCATTCTTCAGGCTGTCCACCAAACTTTGGCAATGGGTAGATTTTATGAGCTCTGGCAGGTGCGTAACCTAAAGAATTGAAATTAGCAAAAGACTCACCTGAAGAAATGCCCGCTTGTGAGTGCGACCCAGAAGCATTTGTTATTTGAGCTATAGCAGCCGGAAACGATGGAAAGGCGTTGACGTTTGTCGATCTAGCGGTGGACATACATTTGTAGGCGCCCCAGCTGCTGGAGTAGTTCGTGCAATTGTAGCCCGATGAAAACGCGTAGTGTTGGTCGTTGTTGTCATACTTGCTGCGCAAGATGTTGATGAAAACACGTCGCCTAGACATGGGTCGGCGGTTCCACGTTGACTTGGAACACCTATCCCACCAGTACAGTTATTTACCCCAGTAGCGAACGCAATAGATGTCGTAACGGCAACTCTCAAATTCGTGGCGTAGTCTGAGGTAACGGTACCTTCAGCTGAAACTCCCGTTGCTGTGTTTGCAGTTGATATAGGAGTGGTTACGGGGTATGAGTTGACGATCCCCGGCGGTATAGTTTTAACAGCAGTGGACTTTGGAGTAGCATCTCTCGTGCCTGCAGATATAGCCGCCAGCTTCTTGGTAACGTCTTGCAACTCTTTCTGCAACGCCGCGACGCTAGCCTTCGTTTGCTCTTGCTGTTTTGTGATGAGGTTCTGCATGGCGAACATCTGTCGCTGAAATTCTCGCTTCATTTCCGCAATCATCCGCGCAGCTGTTTCGGTTTCTACGTGCGCACGTTGCTGATGCGATGAAATATTTGGTTCACCGGT